TCCGGTTCGGCGTCAGAACTGCATGACAAACCAGTGCTGCTGTCAACGGCTTGGGATCTCGGAATGTATCTTGGGGGTGGGGATTATTTAGTCGAGGAACCCGTAGGCTCTCTAGCAGGCACCGTGCGCGAAGCCATTCTTGCGCCCCCGCGCAAGCAGACAGGGCCATCGTGCACACCTGGGATAACCGGGAACCCTGGTCATGCCAACAACATACATATGTATATGTATGCATATTATATATATATATATATATATATATATATATATATATATATATATATATATATTTTATATATATATATATATATAATGCAGCACAGTATAGGGTGTGTGGCCATGACAACACGATCATGGGTTCAGCCATGGAGGGCTTTGGGCTTGCAGCGCGCCCTTGGGCGGATCTTGGGGCTTGAAGCTGGGGAGTTTTTGGGGTTTAGGTTTAGGGTTTAGGGTTTAGGGTTTAGGGTTTAGGGTTTAGGGTTTAGGGTTTAGGGTTTAGGGTTTAGGGTTTAGGGTTTAGGGTTTAGGGTTTAGGGTCGGGATTGTGGGGCATGCACAGCTGTATCTACGGAGCGTGCCCAAGGAGACCTCTCGAAAAAATGTGTCCAGCCCTCACTTGCATGCGAAGCTTCAATCACATTGGGGAGCACTTTGCCCAGGCCTGGGCAGCGTTGGCGTCCACACACGGCGGGGGCGCGGGGGGGGGGGGGGGGTTAAAGGTTTTTGCCTAGGGGTTAGGGGACCCTCCAACCCCTGTGCCCTGGGCGATGCAAAGAATGCTTCAGGATTCGCTCGCATCTGCAGAGTTTCGGCTTCAAGCTGGGGTCAACCAACCCACCATCAAGAGATGCTTGGGAGCCAAGTGTGGTTAACAAAGTTGCTGGGCTCATAGGGTCTTTTCTGTGTCAACGCTGGCTTCTTCAGCTGTTGACTTCAGCTGAACATACCTTGGTCTCCACAAAGATTGAACGACCCGATAACGGAAAAAACGCAAACCCTTGCGGACAATCCCATCAATGCGCGAGCGTGGGGCGCATGGTGTCCAGCACTTGGTGAGCGTGCTGCCACTTCCGGCCTTTCCTCAACAGAGGTCTTATTGGGATTTTAGGGTGAAAAGCTGCTCAGCTGAACAGCACCCAAACCCCAAACCCCAAACCCCAAACCCTAAACCCCAAACCCCAAACACCAAACCCTAAGCCTAAAACCGCGGAGGTTATAGGGGTCAAGGAGTCGAGCATGGGGTTTGGGGCTTTTGGGGCTTCGGTTTCAGGTAGACTATTGGGAGGGCAGCTATAAATTGAGTTTGTAGCTGCCTTACTGAAAGAAACCCAATAAACCCAAAAGGGCTAAGGATCTGAAGTTACCGTAAGGCACCACAAAGTAGGGATGTGTTTTTGAGCCCTGATCAGTGCCGGTCTTCGAGTTTCTAGGGTTGAAGAGACGATTGAGACTCCCGCGACAATCCGCTCCTGCAGGGTCCAGGCATGAGAATAGCTTGCACCCTAGTCTCGCACAGGCGCGCAGCATTCTGCCGTAGCTGATCGAATCCTGGGCCAGCGAGCTCTCAACCCCGAAACATCCCGAAACATCCCGAAACAGCCCGAAACAGCCCGAAACAGCCCGAAACAGCCCGAAACATCCCGCCTGACATGTCCCGGCTTAAGGTTTGGGACCTTTCCGAACCCTAAGTACGGGATGCCTAAAGGAAACCCGCCTGAGGCAACATATGGAATAGGCAAATTCACTTCGCACGTGCTAAGTTGAGCCTGATACAGAGCACGCTTCCCTTGCCACGTCCGCAAAGACAGTCGAAGAAGCTTAAAGAAGAGCAACGAAACACGAAGAAACACGTTGAGCTTCATTGTCTGCCACTTTGCCTCAACGCGAGCAATCAGCCGATCTGCTGAACATACAGTGGACTTTGGGAAGGTCGGAGGGGGCGTCTATGAAACCTATGACTTGCGCGAACAGACCCAATGTCGTCCGCGCGTCTGGGAGGACACCCGCATCCGCCATCTTCATCAGCACACCTGCGCACGATCCGCAAGAGCCCTCAATACTCCAAAACCAAAAATGCTAAAACCATGAACACCCCCGACTCCTCACCGACACGCAGATATCTCTATCGTTGGGGTCCTTGCCACGAAAGGAATTTCAAGAAGATGCCCCAGACTTAGAACAACGTCTCACCAACCTCTCAGCCCCAAAAACAATGAAACCCCTGATCCCCGAACCCCCCCGAAACCCGTACACCGACCCTCTCTCTCTCTCAGGCATTCGAAACGTCAAGCCTGCCAGGGACAGCTCTCGTGGCTACCCCCGTGAAAGTGTAAGCGGGACAGTCAGAAGTGTGCGAATTACGGTGAGAAAGAGCAAGCGCATGCAGCAACAGCCAGACTACAACTTCGCAGAGAAGACCCTAGAAATGCGACGTAAGTCACGGATAGCTAAGCGCCTTAATCGTTGCTGCTCAATTAAAGCTTGTATGCCCGCATCTTCAGGCAAATCAAGACACTGCGAGGACTCACAAGGTTCATCTTCGCTTGCATCATCGAGAACTCTACCGAAAGGTTGAACCGAGGATTCACGAGGTTTCTCTTCTCTTGCATCATCCAGAGCTGGACCGAAAGGTTGCATCGGGAGGCTTGCCTCACCTGAGCCTGGTTGCTCAAGCTCGCAGAGGCCCGCATCTCGTTCGAGTTCATAAATCCGTCTCTGTAAGGTACACCGACCCTAAACCCCTAAACCCCTCTAAACCCTAAACCCTAAACCCCAACCCGAAACCCTACACCCTAAAACCCTCGACTCCTAAGGAACCTAACCTAAACCGCTACATATACTATATGGGTGGTTGTTGAAATGATGGTCCCTTTTTGGATCCATATTGTCAGACGGCACCTAATATTTAGGGTACCCGAAAAGGGCTCATAATTTTGACAACCACCCATATACCTGGAAACCCTATAAAAAACCCCAAGGAACCTGAGGCGCTACAGGAAGCCAAGACAGCAGAGACGTGAAGCCTGTGGCGTGCACCCACTGACCACCTGCCAGGTGGATTGGGGATTAGGGTTTGGGGTTTTCGGGTAGGGTTTGGGGTTTAGGGTTTAGGGTTTGGGGGTTGGGGTTTGGGGTTTAGGGTTTGGGAAAAGGGCTGGCCCATGCTTCAAGAGCTTCGAGGGCCAAACTCTTCAGCCTTACTGCTCAATACTTTCGAAGCCAAATCTGATGCTTCAGAAAACCGGAGCTCAGCTCAGATTTGAGTGTGGGTTGAGGGCCTTAAGCCATTTCGGGCTCAGGGACCCAAAGAGCTCCCAAATCCTTTACAACCTTAAACAACCTTAAACCCCAAACCCAAAAACCTTAAACCCTGAACCCTAAACCCCAAACCCCAAACCCTAAACCCTAAATTGCTTCCTGGCCTTGCAGGCTGTGCCAGGGGGCGTTGGAGTCAAGCAACATGGCCGCGCTCCCGAGCACGTTCCAGACGCACCGCGGCGGACGTCTTATGGCAGACTAGGCTGTGCTTCTGCCAGTCAGAGCCTTCTTAGCCCACTCCCTAAACCAATATAGGGACCTGACTAATTTCAATAGGGTTTTTGGGGATATTCTAGTATAACTACGAAGGGGCCATAAGGGAATATTACTCGCAATGACTGCCTCTGCCTTCTTAGCCCACTCCCTAAACTTTAGTAGCCCAGCAAACATCTTATAGTAAGGGTACCCATGTTTTTTGGTTGGTTACTCTATCCGGGAACCCAGAACCAAAAAAGGATAAAGGGTACCACTGGGCTACCAAGAAGTTAAACCCTGAAGCCAGTGGCACGGACCTTGTGCTGGCGGGCGCTGGGTGTACCCATTTTGGGCAAAGCACTTGTTCTGGCACGTGGCGTGTTCTAGCTCGAAGTCCCCGCTGCGTCTGCTCCCTGGAGCCAGTAGGCGCGGCACTGGGTAAGTGGTGCTGCCAACAACTGATGCTCCATGCGACCACAAGCCTACAAGCCTCGAATGGTTGCAAGATGCCGAGTGCCAACGATGGACCATCACGCAGTTGCATGCAAAAGGACCGCGGGGGGTCTTCCTATGACAGCTTCAACGGCTCGCACTTTTCGCTACGAAGTGCACCACAGTGTGCAGAGGCAGGGGATAAGCCTCTGGCGCCATCTTTCGAGGAAGGCCTCTTGTTGGCGCCTCTAACGGAAGATCGGCTTGTCGAAAAGCTCCTGTGCGTTCTCGGCACGTACCACGTCGTAGTACATGTGCTGCAAGGACTTCGCCTGGGCAGCTCGACAGAAAGCTGTCAGCATCCCACACCCTAATTAGGCCAGAACCCTAGTAACCCTGGACCCTAACCATACCCCCATGATTGACCAATGTCGCGTGTCGCGGTTCCGAGCGCCCCTCGCTTGAACTACGTGGCTACAAGGACGCAGCTCAGCACTGGAGACTTTGGAGACAGGTACCGCTTAAGACCTCAACCGGCAACCTTTTGTCGATGTCTGAGGCCAGGGGCTGTCAAGTATTCCTGCATCAGGAACTGGACCTCCCCAATCTGCTTGCCGCCCTCGCCCTCCACCCAGAGGTTGACCAAGATGTTCGTGCGCGCCTGCGCTGCTGGGAGGTTCATGGACACCTAGAATCCCAATTAGAACTGTACGTATATAAGGGAAGCATATCATCCAATTATAGCTGTACTTGTAACGGAGGCAACAAGCATGAGGTTGAACATGTGGAGCATGCAGGAAACTCTAGGAGGCTAAGCAGCTACATTCTTCGATAGCCGACCATGGTCATGGCTTACCATGGCATCGTTTATCAACCATCTTGCGATTGAAAGACCCCGGCTCTGATGCCTTAAATACTTGGAGGTTCATGAAAACCTTAAATCCACAATTGTAAGTCTACTTAGGGATCTACGGCACGCATCGCTTCATATTGAGTTGCCCAGTCGGCTGAAGATGAGGCTGTGTGGCACACGAAACCCTAAGCCCGAAACCCTAAACCCTAAACCCTGTGTGATTGACAAACCATGACAAACCGCGCTGCGGAGCCCACTGGCGCTCCTCATCTTGGAGCTTCTGATCCGCGAACTTGTTCTTCACTCGCACGATCTTGAAACGCTCCTTTCGTAGCTCTCAGGGCTTGGCGGAGCAGCAGAACGATCAGTTGTTGAGAACAGCTTTAGGCTCGCAAGGCCCGGCAGGGACCACCTTGAGCCTGCTCAGATTCACTGCTTTATTGTTTGGAGTTTTCGCTCCACCTGCTTGAATGATGCTTCAGGGTTATGGCATAGCCGCAGCCACACAACTTACTGCATGAAATAGATCTGCGCCCCTCCTGCAGGCTGTGGAAGGCAAGGGCAAGCGCGAAGGGGTCCGCTGCGTAGATCGTGGCGCGGAGGAAGTCGCAAACATATCCTGAGTCATTTGGGGTGTCAACATCCCCTTTACCAAACCCAGAAGCCCCACTCAGCTTGAGAATCTCTTCCTGTTTTGGAAGTCCCAAAAGAGTCCACAAAGTAGACGCAAGGCACTCTGCTCAAAGCAAAATTAACACGTCACGACAACCTTGTGATCGTTCCAAGCATTAAGAGAGCGTCGTGCTGCTGGCCGCTCCTTCTTTGTCTCGTCCTGATGTCAACTCAAAAGACGCCGCCCAGGCCTTTCAGAGATTGCCTTTGCAAAGCTAGTGGCGTAGTAGCAGTAGTAGCAGTAGTAGCAGCAGTAGCAGTAGTAGCAGTAGTAGCAGCAGTAGTAGCAGTAGTAGCAGTAGCAAGAGCAGTAGCAGCAGTAGAAGTGGTAGCAGCAATTGGAATGGCAGGAGCAGGAGCATTCATCGTCGTTGGTAAACATCTAGAAAAACAGCTAGCATTGACTAACAATAACAGCGGAGATGAAAAATATTTCAGCAGCAAAAGCAAGTGTAGGAACAGTAGCGGCGGCATCAGCAGTAGCATCAGCACACAGAGGGTCCGTTTCATAGTCGCCCTTGATCTTTGCCAGCGCACGCTCCTGCGGGAGAATCGGGCGGGGGGCTGCAGCAGTAGTCCTTAAACCCTACAAACCCTACAGCATGTGGATCATGACAAGGTTTTGGCTCACCACCTGTTAAGGCAAATCTTCGCAGCGGCATGGCCGTCCTTGCTCTTGATTGGGGCCACCAGTAGCCCGAGGTGCTTGCCGCACTCTGCACCCGACTCAGGCTGCAACTGGTGCACTGAGCAATCCTAGGCAGGACTTTGGGGGAGTCCTTCGTTCACAGGGCCAGGCTCCGCATCCCACACCCTTTCTTGAACGGCTGTTTGGTGCCATGATTTCTTGATACCACTCATATCCGATACTAAGGAATAAGGAAGAGCCTCGACGTGCTCAGGCAACAAAGAAATGCGAAAATCGCAACGAACCCGTGACTCCTCTCATGGGCCGCCGAAGGGGCAAGGGACAGCTTCTCATCGAACTTCCGAACTTCCTCCCGGCTGATCTCATTGAGCGCCCCAACCATGTCGCTGAGCTGCCTGAAAAAATCATTCGCCAGTCGCTTTTTTCGGAAACTCGCAGGAACAAGAACAACCCGCGCCTCTTGAAGTCCGTCCGCAACCAGCTGGCATAGGCAGACAAGGCATCCACAGCGGACTCCTTGGCGCGGGCACACGCAAGCTATCTTCTTCAGGTGCCCACTGCTCGCAATGCTCCCAAGCCCCTATGCCATTATGCTTCAGCCCGGGAGCCTGGCTACCACAGTGGTGCACTTCCAAAGCTGGCTGCACGGCCTCCTCATGCTTGGAGGAAGGGATCATCTCCAGCTTCTCCATGCGGGCACCGTCATCCTCTGCCTCCAAATCCGTGCAGAAGCACATGGAAGCCCCACGACCTAACATCCCCTACCTGATAGGCTCGGCGTTGATCCACGAACCAGGTCGCCAGGCGCTGCGCCTCGTCCCCCGCCAAGGCTTTCATATCCTGCCGCATACAAGCTCTCAGCGGGTGAGAACGCTGGTCAGGTGGGTAGAGGAGAAGCAAACACAAAACGCAGGATTCAGAACTTCAAAGGCGTTGCCAGGTTACGGCTTAGGCCCTAAGAGCGTCGCTGCTCACTCTGGCTGCGCCTGAAAGATCTGCTCAGAGGCCTCACTCTTGGCGTCCAAAGCAGCAAAGAGCTGCTTGTGCAGGTCATGGAGCTTGTTGCGGACGGTGGGGTCGTCCAGGCGCTTCTTCAGGGCATCCTGACAGTGAGCATCAAACCTGCTGCCAAGTCCACTCCATGTGTGGGGGAACCAGATGACGGGAACCAACAATGACACAACCTTCAGCCAGGGTTTGGGGGTCCCATCCGTGGGTCCTGCTTCTCCATAAGCTTCTGTTTCCGGCGCAGGTCTCCCAAAGCCATGAAGCCGTGTCCTTGTCAGCTCGCTTCAAGTTTACCGACAGGCCGAGAAAGAGTATGTCCAAAAAGTGCGTACACAGTCATTGGCCTCAATCCCTGCGCCTATCTGTTCTTAGAAGCCCTTGAAATACTCAACACAACCGACATTGTTTTGAAATGGTCTGCGTTTGTTTCATTTTGACCAATGATTGGCAGAAACGATCGGAACTCCAAGGGCGACGCGAGATGCACCATGCAACGCCTGCGAATTGCAGAAAATCATGGAAACGGCTGCTTGGAAGAACCGGCCGTGCAAAACCACCACTCCTAGCCTTCCTGCCAAAGCATGTCGACACACTTGGGAATTATGAGGCAAAATGTAGATGCGGTCTGAGTGTCGGTTGCGAAGCACGTCAAAGGAGACGTATGCTGCACCGCCCAAGGACCAAACAAGGATGAGGATGAAGAAGCGCCTCCTTGATCGCGTATCCGCCGGGCGGCGCTAGGGAAGACACATTTCTGTCCCCTGACCTGTACCCCTCTGAAGGAGACTAAGAGGTGGCTGAAATTAGACAAAGGGGCTCCAGCACCCTCACCCCCTGCCCCCTACCCCCTACCAGAAATAGGCTCCTGTCCCCACAAACCTAGAAAGAAGTGAAATAAATCGCTCCAGCACAGCGCCAAACCTCACCGCCCTCACCGCCCAATGTCCTGGCTCTTACTTGTAGGAATCCTGACGCCTGAGGCTGCGAGACCACTTCCACCCCTTTCAATTCTAGAAGCACCCGCGACGTGCAGCTGAGCCTCATCTTGATCTCTGGGCTCATGTAATCCTCTGCAAGCCCGCCGCGTGGCTTTGCTTCCTGCTCATGCAAGGCCGCCCAGATGGCGAAGAGCACCTGACACCAGGAATACGACCAACCTCAAGATGTGCACCGGCCCTCAGGAAGTCAGAAAGACCCACCAGCAGTCACCTGAACCCTAGAAACCCTATAAACCCTATGAACCCTATAAACCCTATAAACCCTGTAAACCCTTTAAACCCTATTAACCCTATAAACCCTATAAACCCTTTAAACCCTGTAAGCCCTATAAACCCTATAAACCCTAAACAGCAGGCACCTTCACGGAGGCCACCACGGCCAGCGGCCAGAAGCCGCAGCCAAGCGCCCAGAGCGCCGTGTATCGGGAGAGGCCCAAGTCGGTGTAGAGCAGCTTCCTCAGCGGTTTTTGGGGCATATCTGAGCGACTCCGAAAGCAAGCCAGGCACGCAATGTCAGATGTCCCTGGAGCCACACACATACCTTTATGTTTAAGGTACATCTCCCCATTTCAAAGGGTACAGAGGTTACCCCAGGTCCACCCTAGGCTTCCCACAGGAGCTGCACCGCGGAGAGCGTGGACACGAGGCACCCAGCCAGGCAGGCAGCCCCAAAGGCCTGGTAGTTGTAGCTCATGAAGAAGTCTCGGTGCTCTACTTTGGGGCAGCTCCCCGTCTTGCAGAAGTTGTCCGCAGCATCGTTGAAGTAGGCGAGGCCGCGGACGCTGCCTGTGACGTTCGCGGCCACGATGCCCAGTGCCTGAATTGTACGGCGATATGGGCTTCAAGCTCTGAGGTCCCGGGATCCGGGACTCAGCCGGACTCAGCGAAATTCTTGAAAGTCTTGAGGCCAACTCCAACAGTGCTCCAGCACACACATGCAAGACTCATGCAAGCAGAGGAGCATTGTCGGATAGGAAGGCGTCCTCCATGTCCACGTCCGAGTCTCTGAGCACCATCCCAGCGGCCAAGTTCACTGCACGAACATCTCGGGCTCGGAGGTGGGAGGACACAAGAGTCATCCCGACGCCCCGCTTCTGATCGCCCAGCAAGTCTGCCTCAGGCCCACAAGTTTGGGAGCTTCGTTCTCAGGCAAGCATGACAAGGGGCATGGATTAGCTACTTAGTTGAACCTAAAGGGAACATGCCCCACCTCGGCAAGATCGAGCTCACAATCTCTAGCAGTGATCCCCACATTGCAGTCCTTGCAGGTCATGCCAAGGACGTTCGCAGAGATGTTGCCGTCCAGGATCAGCCCTGTGCCCAGTACGCCGTCCATCCGGATGTCACGAAAATCTGCGGAGCAGGCGCCGCCGGATGCTTGCAGGGCCGCACCTGCCAACGTGACTCCTTCCATCGTGACCTTGTTCATTGATAGCTTCCAGTCGGGGGCCGAAATCTTGACCTCAGTTGCGAGCCGGACGCCGGTTCCCCCGAAGGTCTAAGAGAGATGTGCACAAATGAAACGGTTGATGAAGTGATTCGTGGAAGGCCTGTTACAAGACCGAACCAGCACAGGAGGACGACAGAAAACTAAGGCGGTTTCGGCAGCCCAGACGTCGTGCAGCGTCACGTTGTGCAGGATGGCATCGAGCAACGGACCTGCCACGTGCACAAAAGCCCTCTTTTTATTGCGCCCATAAACCCTAAACCCTAAACCCTAAACGCTAACCCCTATGCCCCCTCGAATCTGCAAAGAAAGGATTGGCGACCTGAGCTATCCAGGTCTGGAGAAGATGTCGAGTGCACAAACTCCAGGAAAGGTGCTCGCATCTCCGAAGCCGTGAGGTCGCGCATGTCCACCTTCCAACCCTTACCATTGAAGATCTGCAGAGAGGTCTGCATTGTGGAGCCACGCAGTGACACGGACACATTGGGCGTGTCTTGAAAGCTCAAGCAAGCGCCTTCGCAGTGACCCAAGTGCGAATCCTGTACGCTGATATTCCATCCTCGTCCGAGGCGAATTGTGTATGTGCCCGTCATCTCGCAACCCTTGATGTCGACGTTGTTGGCACGGTTGCTGCCAGGTCGGGAGAAGCCGCGGATGCCAAAACCCGTCAAGATTGTGCGGTCGATGGTGAGGAAATTGTGGACTGCCACGCTGGACTTGTCTAAACGGGAGCTGACTATTGCCAAGTGGTCAGCTTCAAGCTGACTGTGATAAAACTTGGAATTGCTCGCGGTGAACATTTTTCCGGCAAAGCCCCCTCGAGCGCAACTGGAATTCTGCATGATCATGTTCTCAAAGCCAAAGCTTCTACTTTCCTCAAAGCCCGAATGAGGGTCACAGCTGGAGTTTACCATTGTCAGACCTCCGGCGTGTATGAACCCTCCGGACACCTCCACATCCTGCAGACTCACTGCTGCCGCTGCTTCTGCTTCTAGCCCAAGATGCTGCAGCTGCATCCTTCTGAAGGTCAGCTGTGCGTGAGCCTCGACTTCGACTGCCCCGCACAGCCTCCCACCCTGGATCTTCACGCCCGGCTCACCCTCGAGCTCCAGCCTCACCCACGCCGGCAACGTCCAGCACGGATCATTGGCTCGCCTTCGATTTTGCGGACCCGCTTGCGGGCTACTCGGCTGCTCGGCCCACTCGACACTGTAAACCTTACGGAGCATGACCAGAACTTGCACCATGCAGTCTATTCAGGCGCGTATCCCTTGCAAGCCAAGCGGCCCCTGGCCGCAGCTTCACCCGAACAGGCTCCGTGGTGTTTGCTTCCAATGTCAGGTTGGAGAGCAAAGCGGTCAAATTGATGATCTTCACGGGGGCGGCCGGCCTCTGGCCAGCTAGGCAACACATTTCCATGAAACATTGTGCAACCCTTGATGAAATTGGCGACATGACGTAGAACGAGCTGAGGTGCTCCTCCGGACCGCCATCGCGGAGTTCCAGCTGCAAGGCCGCAGTTTCCGTGCTCCGGTGGCCCGAGGAGAGCCACACCAAGTAAACCCCCAAAAGACACGGCAGCCTGCTGTCGAGGCCCACCTGCGAAGCAGAGGAGGCTTTCGACTCTCACGCTCGCGCAGGGGTTCGGGGCTGTTGAGGCTTAGTTGCATCGGGCAGACTTAATTAGGATTTGCTGAGGGCGCAAAAAGGTCTGAGAGATGGAAGCCCCTGAGATCGTGCCGAGAGCACATTGGGATCCGGGCCTTGCGTATCATAAGATGGAGCAAAGCCTCAGAACGCCCAGCTCGTCTACAAGCTTCCACCAACAAAAACAACAGAGGCTCAACTCAGCTCTGCCCGCAAAGACGAGTGGCCTGTGGACGTGTATTGCTCAAACGGCGACAAGGCCCCACGAGGGGCCCCGGCTGAGCCAAACTCACGCTCACGGAGAAGCTCGGCTTGCAAAAGCATCACCACATGCAACGCAGAAGCACTATGTAATGATTAATGGCCACTTTACTCTCGCACAAAGCCTGCGATGATTGTATCATATTGCATCAATATATGGATAAACCACGTGCAGAAAGCCGCTGCCTCCCGAGGACTGACGGAGTCTATTTCACTTCTTCGGCCCGAGAGATCCGGTAAGCTGCCGGATCCCTTGGTATGAGGGCGACTCATGCCAAGTTTGGGGTTCAGGGTTTGGGGCCTGAGGGTACTTCGAGGCCATGTCCTGCTATGGTTCGTACAGTAGCGGTGGACGTAAGGCTTGACCTGCAACATCAGCTGGGGCCCTTGTCCCCTAGGCCCCTTTTTAGTTCCTAATTCCCCAGGACACGAAACGCCAGACCCCAAGCCTCACGCCAAGCCCTGGGTGCGCTGTTTTCGGCCGCTTTGCTCTGCCCCCTCAAAGCCGACACCATCGTATCTAGAATGGACACTTGCTAAAGACCACAAAAAAAGAAAACGACAGTTGTGAGGCGGTGCCATACGCTCTAGGCCCTAAACCCTGAACCCCACGCCAAGCCCATTTCGCCCCCGTTGGCGGGACCCACGTCGCATGGGCATCATCACCTGCCAGCGGTCTGTTCGTGCCTTATGGCTTAAGGCGTTCTAAGAGTGTTTGGCAAGGTTTCGGCTGTGGGGGCCGGGTGGGAAAGTCCTAAACCCAATGTCCAGGGTTTAGGGTTTTGCCACTCTCCCAACTAGCACAAGGTTTTTAGGGTTTTGAGGGATTAGGGTCAGGGATTAGAGGGTTTTCGGAGTTTTTGCGGGCTTTTGAAGGTTTTTGAGTGTGTTCGCCAGGGTGTTGAGGGTTTTGAAGGTCTCCCCAGCTGGGAAACGGTGTGTCCACGAAGATCACGAAGCTGGTCCCACATCACCCTTAAAATTTCACAGCTGCACTTGCACAACCAACCCCACTGTTGTCATACAACCTTCTGTGCAGAGGGAAGGCAGTCACAAACCCTGGGGTTGTTCTAACTTGAAGGTATAAGAGGGCGTCTCTGTATACAAATAACTACCTTTATGAAATGAATTAGGGTCCCTTGTTCGGGATCTCTTTTTAAAGGGTGCCGCCTTATTATAGGTACCCAAAAAGGGACCCCCAATTTAGGAAAATACCCATATATGGTCGAGGGTTCCTCAGCCCTAAACACCCCAGGCCCAAGACGAACCCACAATTTACATCAGCCCCACACCCCTCCCCCCTTTTTTTCAGCGGAACCAATCCATAAACATCAAGCCCTGGGGATACTGCAAGCTCGATTGGCTCACAAGCTTAGGGCTGCGAGTGTTCCCAAGAGCGCCACAAACAAACCAAGCGAACGGGAAGGTTCTGTTGGATCCGGAGCTTCCTGACCCCCCCCCTCTCCCCGCCCGCCAAACCCAAACCCTAAACCTTCAACCCGAGACTCTGGACCCTAAACCCTGATACGCAAACCCTAAACCAAACATCCTGGTCTTAGGTCCTATACCGGTGCCTCTTGCGCTTCCGGCAGGGGGTGGCCTGCTTCAGGGTTTCAGAGCTACTTGGAGGTTCATGGGCGCTTCGGCTTTAGGATTTAGGGTTTAGGGTTTAGGTTTAGGGTTTAGGGGTGAGGGTCCCAATTGTAACTGTACTTAGAAGCCCCCGCAGTCACCGAAGTAAGGGTATGTCGACTCTGAATTGGGTGAAAACTCCAAGTATAGGGCCTTCAGGACTTCATGTTCCCCCTTACACTCTTACACTAACAGGCCTTTTTAGGGATGATATTACGGGATACTATAATCCCAATTAAGGACTGTTAGTATAGAGGGGGAACATCCCAACCCTAAACCCTTTGCCCTAAACCCTAACCCTACACCCTAGACCCTAAACCCCAACCTTTGGGACTTAATTGAATTTTTACCGTGCGCTTCTCTGAGGAAGGCTTCGGTCCGGCGAAGGGGCTTAGGGCGTTGAGGAGGCCCGGTTTCGGGTTTAGGGTTGAGGGTTTAGGGTTTAGGGTTGAGGGTTTTATGCTTAGGGACGGCCCAGTGCAAAAAAAAAACAAACGCACTGGATTAACTCACGGACTTTGGGGCATCTATATAACCGCGGCTGAGGACTCTAGACATGACATGCCCTAAACCCTTCTAAACCCTAAACCCTAAACCCTAAACCCTGGACCCAAACCCCGCCCCCCCCCCCCCCCCCCCCCCCCCCAAAAAAAACATAAATAATCATAAATAATAATAAATAATAATAAATAAAAATAAATAATAATAATAATAATAATAATAATAATAATAAATAATAAATAATAAATAATAATAAATAATAATAATAATCATCATCATCATCATAATAATTTTAATAATAAGAAGAAGAACAATAATAATAATAATAATAATAATAATAATAATACTAATAATAATACAGAAAACAAAAAAAGAACCTCCTCCAACCCTGAGCTTCGCAACCTCCGATCCGATCCCAGGAGCCTGACAGCTGCCCGGCGCCCTCTGAGTGTGCTGCGCGCAATAGCCGCTGCCCTGAGGGGGTTTAGGGGTTTTTAAGGGTTTAGGGTTTAGGGTTTTTAGGGGTTTAGGGCTTTTAGGGTTTTTAGGGTTTAGGGTTTTTAGGGGCTTAGGGTTTTAGGGTTTTTAGGGTTTAGGGCTTAGGGGTTTAGGGCCTTTAGGGTTTTTAGGGTTTAGGTTTAGGGCTTAGGGGTCTAGGGCTTTAGGGTTTTTTAGGGTTTAGGTTTAGGGCTTAGGGGTCTAGGGCTTTAGGGTTTTTTAGGGTTTAGGTTTAGGTGTTAGAGCTTTAGGGTTTTTAAGCTTTAGGTTTAGGGCTTAGGGGTTTA